ACAACTCCATATTATAATCATAATCAGAAATCCAAAGTACTTTAGGTACGTTTGGTTCATAAATTTAAATAAAAAAATTTGAACACAAATTTAAATTTTGTGAAAAAAATATTATAGTAAAAAAATTTAAATAGTAATTCAAACGTATCAAACAAACGAGAGCTTTATTATCAGGGAATCATAGCTTTTAAGCCCAGTTAGCTGTACAGTTGTTCTAATCCTACTCATCATTCGTACATAACTTATATTAAATCCAGAGCTAATTAAGCATAGTAGTTTTTGAAAATTTTGTTGGAAAAAGTTCTAAGCCGTTAGATCTTCTTCAAATGGCGATACATTATTATATATCTTTTTAATACGAAATAATTATATTACAGTTTAAAACTGTATCATATTTATGGCATATTTTGTTTTTCACACCTTATAATAGAATTTTTTATTTTTTTTTTTGAGATTTTATAGTACGTTTAGTGTATTAGAATTCCACATTTGTTGGAGATATTGGTATGATCTACTTAATAAGGTGAGGACAATCATCCCCTAACAAGCCGGTTTTGTTAGGTTGAGTTAGGCCCAAAATCCTTTGATTTCTGTAAAAATTGTTAGTTTACCAATTCCTCCCAAAAGCTTAAGCTATTAGGAGGTGGGCCAACAATAGTTTTATACTTTAACACTCCCCCTCACGTGTGGGCTGGACAATGGGCAATCGTGTGGGTAAATTAATTAGAAAGCCTAACACGTGAATATTTAAACCCGAGATATATTAAAAACCCAACACGTGATGACAATTTAAATGGGGATAAAGAGTGTAATTACGGGGGTTTGAACTCAGGACCTCCCACTCTAATAGCATGTTAGTTTAACAATCCATCCCAAAAGCTTAAGTTATTAGGAGGTGAGCCAACAATAGTTTTATACTTTAACAATAATAGTTTTATACTTTAATATAGTGTATCAGTAAGTCAAATTTTTTAATCGTTAAATTTGTATATCTTTTAATTTTATGTGATTTTATACAAATTTAATAGATAAAAAACTTAAACTGAACTCATTTTTTTAACCTTTTCTTTCCACTCCCACTGCTTAATGTTTCTTGGGGGTAACTGCACCAAAGTACCCCTGTGTTTTGTTAATATTACAAATACATCCTTAACTATTGAAAGTCAACTCACCTGCGTCCTCTAGAAGCTTCTACTGGTCATACATCATTAATGGAAACGATGAAGATCTTTTATATCATTAATGGCAGTGAAGGCCAAAGGAGGAGATAGGGACACAGGGTGCATATAATAGAACCAAAAGGCACATATGGAAAGAGCCATATTTCCCGAGTATTTGTGGGCTTTTTCTACATTATTATTCCTTGCAGGCATTGCAAGTAGCTGCAGTGACCGGTACTGGCTGCTGCAAAAACCCGTGGCCTTTTTCATCTTTGGCGATTCGATTTTCGATGCTGGAAACAACAATTATATCAACACTAGCCCGAGATTCCAAGCTAATTACTGGCCCTATGGAGAAAGCTTTTTTAATACCTCTACCGGCAGAGCTACTAATGGCCGTACAATCCCTGATTTTATCAGTAAGCTGGTTCTATGATTATGATACTTATTTGTATGTATGTATGAATGTGTGGATTACTTGAAAGATCAATAACTATTAACTAGTACATTTGTTATGCAGGTGATTATGCAAAATTGCCACTAATTCCAC